TCTTTTGGGTTACTGCATCCATAGGTGTAGATCAAGCTCATCAAATTGTCTCAGATCACTCTTTCTCTCCCCCACCCCCTTTCTTCGCCTGGTTGAGTTCTGATCATCCATTCATCGGGACCAGGTCACGTGGGTATCATCTGCAAGTTTGGATGTTCTTGTGCTTATGCCCTCTCTTCCTATCAGCTGGTAGCTTCACTCTCCACTCTAGTCCTCTGTGGCCACGCCGCTGACTCTAGGCCCAGGAGTCCCCAGGTCTCCCCACACTGCTGGCCAACCAGGTCCCCGTCTGGGTCCACAGAAGCCCACTGAACATTGTAGGGCTTAGTTTGCCACTTCATTGCTGCTTTTACTCCAATTCCCCCTATCGGCAATGCATGTGGTCACCAATCAGGGCACGTATTTCCACTGAGTCTTAGTCTTGGAAGGGGGTTTGCATTAAGGGGACCCGACCAACAACTGTTGTTTTAAAAAGGTATTTGCATTGTTCTTGCAAAATTCTATCAGGAGATCTCCAGTATTTTTTCTATCACCAAGGCCATATTTTCCAACTACTGATCCTTCTTCTATGTTTCTTACCTTTGTATTCCAATCACCAATAATGATCAATAAATCTTGATTGCATGTTTGATGAATTTCTTCAACTTCATCATCACTGACTTCAGTGTTTGGTGCATACACTTGCATAATAGTAGGCATCTGGATATTATCCTGTCACTGACAGCATTGTACTTCAGGAAAGATCTTGAAATGTTGTTTGTGATGATACATGCAACACCATTCCTTTTCAATTTGTCATTGCTGGCATTGTAAACCATGTGACTGTCAGATTCAAAATGGCCAATACCAGTCCATTTCAGCTCACTAATGCCTAGAATATCGAAGTTTATTTTTTCCAACTCCTGTTGTTGTTGTCAGGTGCCATTGAGTCGGAACCGACTCATAGCGACCCCATGCACAGCAGAACGAAATAATGTCTGATCCTGGGCCAACCTCACTACCACTGCCACACTTGAGTCCATCAATGATGCCACCAGGCCAATCCATCTTGTTAGGGGTCTTCCTCTTTTTCTCTGACCCTCCACCTTACCTAGCATGACATCCTTCTCCAGTGACTGTTTCCTCCAGACAATATGTCCAAAGTATGAGAGACGAAGCTTAGCCATCCCGGCCTCCAAGGAGCACTCTGGCTGCACTTCTTCCAAAACAGATCTATTGGTTCTTTTGGCAGTCCATGGCACTTTCAGTATTCTCCTCCAACACCACAACTCAAAGGCATCAATTCTTCTACGGTCTTCCCTATTCACTGTCCAGCTTTCACATCCATATGAGGCTATTGAAAACACCATGGCCTGGGTCAGGCGCACCTTAGTCCTCAAGCTGACATCTCTGCTCTTCAGTACTTTAAAAAGTTCCTGTGCAGCAGATTTGCCCAATGCAATACGTCATCTGATCTCTTAACTGCTGCTTCCGATCTCTTGACTGCTGCTTCTGCGAGTGTTGATAGTTGATCCAAGAAGAATGAAGTCCTAGACAACTTCAATCTTTTCTCCATTGATAAGAATGTTGTTTATTGGTCCAGTGGTGAGGATTTTTGTTTTCTTGACATTGAGATGTAATCCATATCGAAGGCTGTGCTCTTTGATCTTCATAAGTAAATGTTTCAAGTCCTCTTCACTTTCAGCAAGCTACCCTATATAGGGTTACCAAGGAACAGCTGGTGGATTTGATCTGCAAATTCAGTGCTTATCCTATAGTGCCACACAAGAGTCCATACCTTTAAGTACTTTTCTATAAATATGGCTTCACTGCTGTCAAGGGAATTTGCCATTGTAGAGTGTCCTCAAACTACAGGGGATTTCCCCCGTCTCCTTAAAACACTGTTGTGGTGGTGGGGGTTGCATGCCATCAATTCAGTTCTGACTTATTGTAACCCTGAATAGGGTTTCTGAGTCTGTAAATCCTCACCAGAGCAGAAAATCTCATCTTTCTGCTTTGGAGCAGATGGTGGATTTAAACTTCTGACCTTGTAGTTCTCTCTTTCATGGAATATAAATATATTTTTCTCTGTACAAGTCTTAAAACAATTTGTTTCCTTTTCTCATTCAGGCTGTTAATCTCTTAAAAGCCAGAGACTATACAACTTCGTTTAACAAAAATTCATATTGACTTTTTATGAAAGCACTGAAAGTTTCCATAAAATTGATGAATGAATTATAAGATAGTTTTTTTAGACTATGAAGGACCACCCCTTGTTACTACCATTTGAGACTTTGGAGACTCAAGCAGATGGCTGTCCAAAAAAATTATCGGTAATATGTTGCTGTTGTTGTTGTTATGTGCCATGGATTTGGTTCCGACTCATAGTGACTCTGTGCAGGGTTTCCAAGGCTGTAAATCTTTACAGGAGCAGAAAGATTCATCTTTCTCCCGCGGAACAGCTGGTAATTTCAAACTGCTGACCGTGAGATTTGCAGCCCGATTCAGTAATATGAGGGGGCTTCAACGAGTTGACAGAAAATTTTCATGATCTTTCAATTCCATTTTTCCCTGAACTTTACAAAACTCCTGTGTATGGACATTGTATTCTTGGCTTTTATTACACAGTAGTGCTGCATGGAAGCCCCTGAGTGGTGCAAACATCTCACACAATTCATTACTGGAGGAATTAGGCTTGTTCTGTGTGACTCCATGAGGAGAAGAGTTTTGGAAGCTTGAGCCTGGTTTCCTACACAGACCTTTGCCCTGAGCTGATTTTGTTGTGCATCCTTTCACTGTAATAGGCTATAGCCCTCAGTACAACTGTATGCTGGATACTGTGAGTTTTCCTAGCAAATCACTGAAGCTGGCGGTGGTCTTCAGGACCTCTGACATAGTTATCTGGAAAGATAATTGTACTGAATGAGCCTCAAGATTGAAACAAAAATTGGAATAAAAATCTATATGTAATGCGCCTTTCACATGTCACTTGCTCCCCTTTTCTTGTAGATTGAAATTTCTGTTAACCATTCTATTTCTAACTCCTAACTAAATGAAACTACAATTAATATCAATTCTGAAAAGGAGTCTCAAAATCTCCCAATAGGATTTATTTATTTTTATGACTATATTGTACTTTGAATATTATAAAAAATAAAACTTTTTATCATCTTTTTTTCTCAAGGTAGAAAGGAAAGCACCTTAACATTTCTAGAACTCTAGATGGGATTTTAAGAGGTGGAGATTTGGGTATAAACCTCAGGCAATAGAAAATTACATGCAGGTACAAAAAGTCCTGTGTGTGATACAAACAGCATTTGTTTTATCTGGAGAACAAGCTTATGTTTAGAGCAACAGTGGAGTAAAGGTTGGAAAATTAAGGTGAGATCAAAGGCTTCAAATGCCAAGCTCTGGAATTTGACCCCCATTTGGTAATTCCTGAGGTGCCATTCAGCGGTACAACCAGTTAAGCACTCTTTAAGATTGTTTCTAAATCACCCAGAGTCTGGGAAGATAGAGCTGGAGATCTGCTTTGAAAGGTCACAGACTTAGAGAACCCTCTGAAGAGCAGTTCGAATATGCACATATGGGGTTACCCAGAGCCAGCACAGACTCCACATCAACTAGCAACGGGGGTCTGCTGAGGTCAACTGACCAGAATTCCAAGTTTATAATTGTAATTTGGGAATAGGAATCTGGGGACAGCATTAGACATGTGACATGAGCCCATAGACCTGGCAGGGCAACACACAGAAGAGAGAAATGATTAATCATTGCTATTTGATTTGTTATGTTGTGATTGTTGTTGTTGTTGTTGTTAGGTACTGTCGAGTCAGCTCTAAGTCAGAGCGATCCGATCCCCAACAGAACAAAACACTGCCCAGTCCTGCACCATTCTCACAATCATTGTGCTTGAGCAGTGTTGCTGCCACGGTGCCAATTCATATCGTTGGAGTCTTCCTCTATTTTGCTAACCCTCCACTTTACCAAGCATGATGTCTTTCTCCAAGGACTGGTCCCTCCTGACAATATATCTAAAGTATGAGAGACAAAGTCTTACCATCCTAGCTTCTAAGGAGCATTCTGACTGTATGATAGCTGATAATACACAGTTTCATAGTTTGTTGTTGTTAAATGTTGCTCTGAGTCGGTTCAGATTCAAAGGGACATATTGGGTTTCTGAGGAGTGATTCCTCATATCTAACTCATCTCCAATCTAAAAAACCAGGAATATTTCCCACATGACCTTTGCCTTGCAGAAAAGCTTAAGGGTGACACCCTCTTTTTACACAAGCTGCTACGCAGATTTATATTTAGGACATGCAGGATATCAAATAATCACTATAGATGCCTTAAGGAAAGCAGTTTAAAGACTGGCTCTGTTCTCTAGGTTACTGAAATCCCAAGTGACTCACCCAGGGCCACAGAGTGAATAGAATAATACAAGTTAAGCGCGTTGTACTGTGCCTGGTGCAGCGCTATATATACAAGGCTCGACTACAAGAGCTCCAACCAGGTGTTCAGCATTGGACTTGAGCGCCTGTAGATTACACAAACCCATCTGGTTTCTGTCAAATGTAAGGATTTTACTTGTATAATGAATGTTCCATAAAACTCTGAATATGGTTTTAATATATATTGTGAAATTAGGTCTTATGGTGCCCTTTTAGCTTCAAAAACGAATTTTTTGTATGCAACTCGACAGCACTTCACAACAAGAAGTCGTAGTTTGGGGTTCAATAAGATTTTTTCCCCTCCCTGGTACATCTGTAAACACTGTCTTTTTCCGTTTATAAAGAAAGTAACTAGGTTTGGTTTGGTTTAGTTATGCTAAGTATCCCGTGACCCTCAGAGTCAACTCAGAGGCCAAAGTGACAGCCGGAAGGTCTAACGACTCAGACTTCGCCATAGTCAACTCTGAGGATGTGCGGCCAGGAATCCCGCTGACGCCATCGCGCATGTCTGCTTGCCACCGGACGCCAGGGACTGACGTCAAGGCGGACCACGCCCATCCGAGCGCCATGCAGGCCTGTCGCAGCGCCGGGCTCGCTCGGGGTCTGGGGGCAGTGACGTTGCCCTGGTTGTGGGGGTCGTGCCGCCGCTCCCTGTCCCTAGTGTGCGCAGGCAGCGCGCCGCGCGCAGGGGACTGGCGGCCCTCGGCCGGGCTAGGGTCGCGCGCGCGCCGGCTCAGCCTGTCGGCAGCGACAATAGTTAACTCGGCGCCCCGCCCCCTACAGCCCTACCTGCGTCTCATGCGGTTGGACAAGCCCATTGGTGAGTGCGGGCGGGCGCGCGGCGCGGGCGGCCGGGGATCAGCGGGCTGCTGTTGTCGGAGGTGCAGTCCGCGACTTGATAGAAATCGGAGTCTGGATATCCTCGGGCAGCACAGGGACCAGCTCTTAAGCCCTTTTGGATCCAGAGCCAGGGAAGCGGGGGGTATACTCACTCCACATATACCTGTTTCTGTAATGTATCGAGCGGAACATTCAGTTTTCTTTACCTGTAGAGATTTTCGGTATGTAAGCATTTCCACATTTATGATGATGTTTGACCCTCACCAGAATCCTTTAAGGCCCTGAAGGCAAATAATTAAGAAATGTAGAAACAGAGACTCCTCGGCAAAGTCAGACCAGAAGAACCCAGTGTTTTGATGCTGAGTGCGAACTCTTATGTTCATCACTCCTAACAAAGATTTAATTCGTTAGAACGCATAAGGCACACTGGTTAGGGACTAGCCATCAGTTCACGGTGACCGCTAAGGGAGGAATTCTAAAATAACACAGACCACCTCACTATCCCGCTATTTTCCATCATGTTTCTGCAGAGTACTCATCATAGCTAACCTGATGCACTTGTTAGTTGATTGGGCCCTGTAATACAGTGTAAGCTCTTGTGGATGGGATGGGACTTGGTTTTTAAAATCTTCATGCCTAGAATAGTGCCTGATTATTAGTATTACATGTATTAATAAATGTTTGTTGTTAGTTTCAGTGGAGTCCAAGTCATAGAGATCCCATGTGTAGGACTGTTGCACACATGTTTTCAAGACTGTGAACTTTTGGAAGCAAATGGCTAGGCCTGCCTTCCGAGGTCTTCTAAGTGGGTTCAAACTGCTATCCTTTGGCTGGTGATGCAGGGCTTAACCATTTGCAATGCCCACGGACTTCAATAAATGCCTATTGTTTTGCTTAGCTGAAAATAGAAAGAGCTAGGGAACCTTCTTGCTAGTTGGAACTCCCAGTCTAGTTGGAAAAAGATATACCATTTGGTGAGCTAGGAAAGTATGGAACCAAATATAAAAAGTACAGATTAAGAGCTGTAGGAAAAAGAAATTACCATTGATCCCCATTGCTGGGGAAAATTTCAAGAAAAGCAGACTGAGTAGAGAAGAGATCATGTTGGGAAAATATCCTTGAAACCCAAAGGTGTTAGGACACTTCCAGATATGGTCCTGATCTGGAACACCAGGTCAGTGTAGAAAATAATGGGATAAGAAGGACCTCTGTGGGCTAGGCATGGGTCAGTAGTTCAAACCCACTAGCCACTCTGAGGGAGAAAGATGAGGCTGCTTCCATAAAGATTGACAGTCTAGGAAACTTTCTATATGGTCGTTGTGAGCCGGAATCAACTTGATAACCACGGTTTTGCCTGGGTAAGAGCTGGACTGAATAATAATGGACAGTGTGGAAGAAGGGGTCTTTTCTGAACTTCAGCTTAATCTTGATAAGTACGTTTGCCATTGCTGTACATGGGAATACGTTCAAATGTCTTGAGTACCATCACTGTACTTTTGTCCAACCAAGACCCCAAATTAGGCCTTGTTGTTGGTATTCTAGGTTCATGCACTATCTATTTGGGATTAGAACACTAACAGTTACAATAATCTCCATTTCAAGTGCTAAAGCAAATTAATAAGCACAGTCTTGTCATCATTAATTGGGTGGTGGATCACCCCTTGTAGGTTGGGGCCAAATACAGACAGGCTGGTGGGGATAACTTTTCAGGCTAAGTTCTCATCAGAAGTCTAGCTATAATTCTGTTCTTGTCATCTGCATCAAAAAAGCTGCAGTGTGGGCTTATGGGAATTCAAGACAGGTTGACAGTTACCATTATTCACGATTTCACAATTAAACCACTGACTTTTATCATAGGGATTAGGCTACCCCTCCCCTCTCCCCAAATAACATATGAATCTATTTCCATCTTGGTGGCCCTGGGTAGAGCTACTCCATACAGCTTTCTTGGTTATAATCTTTACAGAAGTAAATCACTAAACCTTTCTTCCACAGTACCACTTGGTGGGTTTGAATCACCAATCTTTAAGTTGTTGTCGAGCACAGACCATTTGTGTTACCCAGGGATCTTACCATATAAAAAGTGACTAGAAAAAAATTATAAATGAAACTGGAGCCAGTTTTGGGGTTGAATCTTCACTAATCTGCTTGAGGGATGTCAGTTAAGTTACTTCACCTCTCTGGGCCTTCATGTTCATCTTAAAGTAAAGATGCTAATAATAATGATTGTTTCTTAGGATTGTCATAAAATTCACTAGTATATATTAAGTACTTAAAAGAGTACTTCACTCAAAAAACTCACTACCATCCAGTCAGTTTCAACTCATAGCGACCCTGTATGGGGTTTCCGAGACTAAATCTTCGTGGGAACAGAAAGCCTCATTTTTATCCTGCAAGAGCGGCTGGTTGATTTGAACTGCCACCTTTGCTGTTAGCTGTCCAGTGCTTATTCTACAGTATTATCAAGTCTTCTTTAAGACCAATACTTGGCATATAATAACTTTTCAAAAAATGTTATCTGTGCTTCAGAAATGAGAACTAGAGACAATTGTGTTAATAGTTATATATGTTAAGAAGATAACTTCTTCCTGCATTATTTTATATTAAATAAGGTGATAATTACAGAAAATTTCAAACAAGTTATTCTATATTGGAAGAAGTACAGCTAAAATGTTCCTTGGAAGCCAGGATGGTGAGACTTCGTCTCTCATACTTTGACATGTTATCAGAAGGGACCAGCCCCTGGAGGAAGACATCATGCTTGGTAAAGTGGAGTATTAGCAAGGAAGACCCCTAATGAGATAGATTGGCACAGTGGCAGCAGCAGTGGGCTTAAGCCTAGCAATGATTGCGAGGATGGTACAGGACCAGGCAGTGTTTCATACAGTTGTGCATAGGGTTGTTACGAGTTGGAGACGACTAGACAGCACCTAATTACAACAACAAGGTTAAAATTCATTCGGCAAGCATTTTTACAACTCCTGGTGTGGTGCTGTGGGTTAATGCACTGGACTGCAAAGTTAGTTTGAACCACAAGGTTGGCAGTTCAAGCTCACCAGCCACTCCTTGAAAACTATACAGGGTAGCTATGGGTCAGAACCACCTCAACATCACGTAACAACAACAGCACCGTATTAGGTAAATTTGTTGCACAAGACCTCTTTAAAGTGTTCAAGAGCAAAAATGTCTAAGGACTAAGGGGTGCCTGACCCAAGCCATGGTGTTTTCAGTAACCTTATATGTATGCATCAGTTGGATAGTGAATAAGGAGATCCATAGAAGAATTGATACATTTGAGATATGACGTTGGAGAAGAATATTAAAGGTGCCATGGACCACCAAAAGAACGAACAAATCTGTGTTGGAAGAAATACAAACAGAATGTTCTTTAGAAGCCAAGATAGCCAGACTTCATCGCTCAGAATTTGAACATATTGTCAGGAGGGACCAGTCCCTGGAAAAGGACATCGTGTTTGGTAAAGTGGAGGATAAGCAAAAAAGAAGGAGACCTGCAATGAAATGGGTCGGCATCATGGCGGCGGCAGTAGTGGTCTCAAGTGGTCTTAGCACCAAGTAGTGTTTCATTCTGTTGTATATGGAATCACTATGGGTCGAAACTGACTCGATGGCCCCTAATAACAACCGTATGCCAGGAACTACAAATTGACAGTGGTAGAATTGGAGGTTTGATTTCTTTCTTTAATTTCTTCTTTTGTAGGTTAATTTTCAGATTGTGCAGTTGACCTACATTATTTCAGGAGGTTTCAGCAGGTGGCACTCTCTCCACTAAATTGGCAGTGTAATTTTTGTTTCCCTGCATTTATGGATGATGGAGTTACCTTTTCTGAAATGATCTGTGTTAATATTTGAATATATGGATTTATAACAAGTACATCTAAATTCTCAACATAAATGGTAGCTGCTATACAGACTGTTTTGTAATTTGCTTTTTTTTTTAATTTAACAGTGTACCTTGTAGATCACTCCATATCTATAAATAGACAGAAAGAGTTTCCTAGTTTTTTAAATGATTATATTCCACTATCTAGAAATAATTTATTTAATCATCCCTTTTGATGTATATTTAGAATGTTTCCAATATTTTACTAGTAAAAATGGCATAAATATGTTTGCATCATTATTACTAAGTAAAAACACAAGAATTACCGAGTATAATAAGTATATGCATATGTAATTTGAGTAAAAAATTTCAAATTGTTCTCTATAATATTTGACTCATTTTATAACCCCATCAGAAATACATGAGACTTTGCCAATCTGATAGGTAAGAAATGTTATCTCATTATAATTTTCATGTATGTTTCTTAGTTAAATACCTTTTCATCTATATAAGAGTGACTTGTCTTTTGTTCTCTCTGAAATTTGTGTATATGATTTTTGTTGAATTATCTACTTCATCTGCATTGCTTAAGAGTTCTTTTCATATTAGGAAGACTAGTCCTTTGTGATATGAGCTGCAATTTTTTTTTCTCAGTTTGCCATGTGTTTTTTGACTTTGCTTAAGTGTTCTCTACTTTTTTGGATGTGGTATATAAACAAATGAAGACAGGAATTTGAGTTTGTATCTTTTTTGTCTGTTTGTTTTTGCTTAGGAACCTGGCTGCTGTACCTGCCATGTACCTGGAGCATCAGCTTGGCAGCTGAGCCAGGTTGTTTTCCAGACTGGTACATGTTATCGCTCTTTGGTACTGGAGCTGTTCTGATGCGTGGAGCAGGCTGTACTATAAATGACATGTGGGACCGTGACTATGATAAAAAGGTAATATCTTCTTGCAGAGGAACCAGAGGCTGCTCTCAATTTTGCATCCCTTTTTGATACCAGCAAAAGCAACAAGATTTTTGAATGTGTCCACTGAAATCCAACATAAGAAATGTTGGCAAAAGTTGAATAGCTGGTATTGCAAAGCACAGCATACCTGTTTTCTCAACCCAAGAGTGACCATGGGGCAGATTGTACACTTCATATTGTTGTTGTTGTTCTTAAGTGCCATCAAGTCCAACTCATAGAGACCGTAAAAAAATGAAAACTTTTGTCCACACAAAAACCCAAACACAAATATTTATAGCATCTGTTGTATAATGTTGTTGTTATGTGCCGTCAAGTCGGTTCTGACTCATAGCGATCCTGTACAGGGTTTCTGAGGAGCAGCTGGTGAGTTTGAACCACCAACTTTGTGGTTTAAACCAACCTGTGGCCCAGTGCTTTATCCCACAGCTGCCCTGCAATGGGTGAATGCTTTAAGTATGGTGTATCTATGGAAAACTACTCAGCAATAAAAAGGTATGAACAATTGATACAGCAACCTGGGTAAATCTCCTGAGACATATGTTGGGGCATGGGGAGGCAGTCTGAGCTGGTTGCATACTATATGATTTCATTTATATAGCATTCTTAAAATGACAAAATAGAGTAACAGATAAGTGGCCAGGAGTTACAGAGGACATGGAGATAGGAGGTTACTGGGTGTGACTATGAAAGGGCAACGTGATAATCCCCACGGTGATGGAAATACTCTAAACCTTGACTGTTAGTTGATAGTGTCAGTTGTAGTTTTGTAAGATGATTCCATTGAGGAACAAAGCATGCATGGCATCACGGCTATTTCTTAAAACTGCATGTGAATCTATAATTACATTAAAATGAAATGTTTACATTTTCAAAAACTTAACTATAACTTAAATAGAAAAGTAGTTTTATGTGAATATAACATATTCAACCCAACTCATTTCTTCCTTTTTTTTTAAATTAACAAAGTATGACTATTCTGCTTCCCCTTCAAGTGATTCTTTTCTCCCAAGATAAAAGAAACAGGTTAGTTATCTGATAATCTCCTTCATACAGCTTTTTCATGATCAGAGGAGTTGAGATTCTCTCTGTTGACATACTAAAAAGCACTATATGGATGTTTTACAGCTATTGAAGTGGTTTTGCTGACATGAGTTTTAAAATGTTATGTGTAGCTCCTTTAAACGGTGAATTTAAAAGCTTAGCCAAATGATAGTGCATACCTCTTCTTTTCTCAAAGGCCACATGTCATGGAGAACATGTTTATGGCTCAGGGTTTTGCTTAATACATTGCCTGGTAAGTAAATTGCTAATATACTAAATGATAAGTGAATGACTATTATGGTATTGGGTTGTGTGTTATTTAGATGTTATACGTAATCTGCTAGCCATGTTATTAATTGATAAATTAGGTCCACACATTGAAATAATCAGTACACAGGTATGGATGAATTGATTTTGCACACTGTTTTATAAAATGTGTTTTGATCATCATGTTACCTCACTTTTAGTCTTTTGATAGAGCACTTGTTTATTTTTGGCTTTCAAATTTAACTGGGTGTAATGATCATTATACTACAGGGGTAATGTAATGTTTTGGTTGTTCATGTGGTTGGTGGGGCTGGACTGTTTGCTACTACCATTTGGTGTCTTTGACTTTGGAAAGTTACTGAGCTTCTCTGTGCCTCAGTTTCACAAAATGGGATATAGCAAGAATTTTCAAATGGTTGACACTTGGAGTGGTTATGAGGATTCAATGATGTGACACATGTATAGCTCTTAGAATAATAGTTGTTGTTATCCTGGAGTCGGTTCCGACTCATAGTGACCGTGCACAGGGTTTCCGAGACTGTAAATCTTTACTGGAGCAGAACGCCTCATCTTTCTCCCGCAGAACCGCTGGTAGTTTCGAACTGCTGACCCTGAGGATAGCAGCCCGATTCGTAACCTCCACGTTACCAGAGTAATAGTTGTTGTTGTTGTTGTTAAGTGCCATCGAGTCGGTTCCGACCCATAGCAACCCTGTACAGGGTTTCTGAGGCTGTAATTCTTTACAGGAACAGAAAGCCTCATCTTTCTCCTGCGGGAGCAGCTGGTAGTTTCAAACTGCTGAGCTTGCAGTTCGCAGCCCGATTTGTAACCACTATGCTACCAGAGCTCCTTAGAGTAATAGTAGCACATTGTAAATATTTAACAAATGTGAGCTGGAATGATGGCAATATTCTGAAAGAAAAGGGTATAAATTTTATTTCTAATTTGAAACTTTCGGGATCAAATCAGGGAGAAAAAATCCAGTTCTGGCACTTTAATCAGGATAAGAGTCATTACTCAGTTTTTGGCAAACTATCTTATTTGTAAATAATATAAATTATGATAGAAATCAGATCAGCAAACTCTTTCTGTAAAGGACCAGATATTGAGTATGTTGTGCTTTGTGAGCCGTAAGATCAAAGACTTCAGTATGGATTATATACCTGTGTCTAACGAAACACTGACAGGTCCTACAACATCCACACAGTTGTTATGCTTGAGCTCATTGATGCTGGCTGCCACTGTATTAATCCATCTCATTAAAGGTTTTCCTGTTTTTCACTGACCCTCCACTTTACCAAGCATGATGTCCTTCTCCAAGGACTGGTCCCTCATGACAGCATTTCAGTCTTGACATACTTTTCGCTTCTAAGGAGCATTTTTCTAAGACAGATTTATTCTTCTGGTACTTGCAGTATTCTTCACCAATACCATAATTCAAATGCATTGATTTTTCTATGTTCTTCTTTAATCATTGTCTAGCTTTTGCATGCAAAAAGGTGACTGAAAATATCATTGCTTGGGCCAGGCACACCTTAGTCCTCAAACTGATGTCTTTGCTCTTTTAACACTTTCAAGATTTACCTAATGCGATATGTCGTTTGATTTCTTGGCTACTGCTTCCATGAGTGTTGATTGTGGATTCAAGCAAATTGAAGTCTTTGACAACTTAAATCTTTTCTCCATTTATCATGATGTTATTTATTGAACCAGTTGTGAGGATTTTCATTTTCTTTACAACAAACTGACAGCAAGTGATGAAATTAGATAAATATGAGGGTGAGTCAAAAATTATCCACACTTGATTATATTAAAACACCCATCCTTGTCCACCACTGATGACAACATTGATCATTCACATGAAATAATTCTGTTGACTAAATGAGTGACAGTGGATTCTGTGGCAAATCATCTGCAAATCAGCTTTGGCTCTGCCTGTGAAATAATCCATGACAGACTTGGGTTGTGAAAAGTTTGTGCGAGATGGTTACCGAAACAACTCATGGAAGATCATAAACAGAAGTGTTTGGACATCTGCAAACAAAATTTAGAGCAGTACTTGAAGGAAGATAAACGCTTCTTTTAAAACATCATTACTGGTGATGAATACATGAGAGATGGATTCATCACTATGAGCATGATAGTAAACGGCAGGATATTGAATGGAAACATCCTCAAACACCAACCAAGAAAAAGTTCAAAAGCCAACCATCAGCTGGAAAATTGATGCTTACAGTTTTCTGTAAGCCAGGGGCCAGTATTGAAACATTACAGGAAAAAAACTCAGCAATCAATAATGCTCATTACAGTGAGGTACTCACTGAAGAGCAAGAAGCCTAAACTTCGGGTTAAATGCAGAATTGCTATCCAAGGGTGTTATGATCTTGCATGATAATGCATGTCCACACACCTCTGCCCACACAGTTGAAAATATTTCATTTTGAAATGTTAAAGCATCCTCCCTATAGTACTGATCTTGTTCCAACAGACTTTCACCTATTTGTTCCCCAGAAAGCAGACTTTGGAGAATGATGATCGACCTCTGATGAAGTGAAGACCTCGGTGCATTCGTGGTTTGCAGTTCAGCATAAATCATTTTTTAGTAAGGGAACCTGAAAACTCATTGACAGATGGACACAGTGTATTTAAAGCAAGGAAATTATGTCCAAAAATGATGTATTTGTCTTTTATAAAAGTTGGTTAAAATAAATTCTGCAACCACAGTGCGGATAATTTTTGACTCATTTCATAGCTAAGGAAATTGTTTGGAGATAGGAATGGAAAATGAAAAGAGAGGATGATGGTAGGAATTTAAGATTATTTCAAAGTTAATTTTAATCTGAATTCTTAATTTTTGTAGTACCTCAAATGTTGATTTCAACCTTTATTTATGTGTATCCTGAGTCCATACCATGGGCCAGTATCTGGATTCAATGTTTAAATAAATGACTGAGCCATTACATGAGACTAAGGTATCTGTCTTTATGTGTTAAGGTTGCAAGGACAGCAAATCGCCCAATTGCTGCTGGAGACATTTCAACTCTTCAGTCCTTTGTTTTTCTTGGGGGACAGTTGACCTTGGCATTGGGTGTTCTCCTGTGTCTGAATTACTACAGGTATATTAAATATGCTTTTCATAACCATGTAAAAAAAAAAACCCTCTCAATTGGAGAAAATAGGAGAAGAAAGTCAAAATATCTTTATCACAAAATTGACTTATTGGCTTTATCACAAAATTGACTTATTGGCTTCATATTGAACACTTACAATCATATATATATATATATATATATATATATATATACTCACCGGTTTTCTATGTAGATGTAGGATGTGAGTGTATATGTGAGTATTCCCACATGTACACATGCAATTTTATTTATGCTGACAATGTATCTCAAGTACAAAGAAGCAAAAGTGAGTGTATTCATGTTATAAAAGAGGAACAGTATCTTTCTCAGGGTCATGCTGTTAATTAAGCACAGAAAAGTAAGTGGACTAATTCCTATGTTCATTAACAGAGACAAAATTACACTTGTGCACCAGATGGCTGCTTATAGAGTGCTTCAGTGAAAAAGGAAAAGACCAAAAGATCTGGTTTCCCCAGGTCAGTATTACTGTAGAGAGACAAGAGCCAGTGGAATGCCTTACCTTGATAGCTTCAGTAGCACAAAAACACTTTGGAAGTTGATCTCAGATGAGTTTTGAAGTACCATAGAACATTTGTTTATCATCTTCTCACAGGTACTTTGTCACTTCATCTTTCTCTAGTGAAGTAACGTTCAGTGATCCATATAAGGAAGCCGTAATGGTGCAGTGGCAAAGCACTTGGCTACTTAAGATTGATGGTTCACACCAGCCACTCCTCAGCAGAAAAGACCTGTCAGTCTTTACTCCTATAATGTTACTGCCTTGGAAACCCTCTGGGAAGTGCCACTCTAGCCTATAGGGTCCCTATGAGTTAGGATTAACTCGATGGCACACAACAATTGTGAATCTCAGGCATTGATGACTCTATGGTAAATTCTCCCCTTCCATGTGCAAGAGCGAGGTAGATTCCCAGTCAGTGTGCCTCATGGACAGCCACCACACATTGTCTGTAGAGACTTACCTGTTGCTATGTGCTATGAGTGTCCAGATTAAGATGAACTGGGATATAAGGACTGGTGATCTATTTCTGAAAATTAACCAGTGAAAACCTTGTGGATCACAAGGATCCTAAACATGAGCCAATGAAAATGCTATGGATCTGCAATGATCTTGAGGATGGTACAGGACTGGAAAGTATTTCTTTCAGTTGTGCATGGGGCTACCAATATTTGAGGGGCAACTCGACAACCTCTAACAGCAACAACATGATTCTAACTCTCTGTTAATAAACGACTCAGTTTACTAGATGTCATAATGTTTGAGAACGTAATTTAAAGAGAGAATAGCCTGTCATTTTAATATGGTGGACTCCAGAGTCTGCCTTAGGTGTGAGTCCTGGCTCTGCTGCTGACTAGCCACATGACAGTTTGTAAATTACTAACTTCTTTGTTCTTCCCTCATTTACCAAATGAGAATAAAAGTATCTACCTCTTAGGTTTGTTGTGATGATTAAAATGAGTTAACTTGTGTAAAGTACTTAGAACAGTGCTTAAGCCATGAAAACAAAATAGTATGAGTTAGCTATTTTGTTTGGTTGTATTATAGCACTTAAAATATTTTCTAATCTTTTATAATAGATAAAGTCTGAAGTCTAGAAAGAGACTTTTACATTCCAAAAACAGCAGTTGAAGATAAAAATATATATATACCATTTTTCAGTTAGTATTGCTATGTTTGTTGTCTTAAAATATTTATGATTCTAAGAGATAGTATTAATTTAAATTTTTTTTCAAATCCTATTGTGTTTTTGGTGAAAGATTACACAGCAGGATAGGTAATTTCCACACAAATTGTGATATTACATTTCCACAATGTCTCAGTATTCCCTTTCATTGTGTTCTGGTGGTTTTATTTCCATTATTCTCACCTCCCTGCCCCCTTCTCATCTTAACACTAATTATTTTAATGTTTTTCCTGATTTCAGTATAGCTCTGGGAGCATCATCCCTGCTTCTTGTCATCACCTACCCACTAATGAAAAGAATTACATACTGGCCTCAACTAGTCTTGGGTGAGCTTCAAATAACTCTTAAGTATTTCCTTTGATACTCTCAAACTATACTGTTAAAATTATTGTTATTATTGTATGGGACAAAGATAAAATGTCAACCAGTCACAAAATTTTCCAAACCAAAAACAAATTTTCAAACTTAAAAAGAGGGCAGTTAGCTCATTTTTATATTGGCTAAGAAATTTTACACTTAGTAAGATTATCACCATCATTTTCTGAAATATTCTTTTCAAAATATAGGTATGTCATGGGGGGAAAAAAATAGATAAACTAGCAATCTTGAACCTGCTCCTTCCGTTGAGTAGTTAATCTGTGTGCCGTGAAGAATTTGAATGTTGGGGTAACAAGCACTCTAAAGCAGGAAAAGAAGAGTTAAAAGTATGTGTGATATCTCAGACGGCTCCCTTCCTGTTGAAGCCTTCTGTATTCTTTCCAGGAAAATTTAGCCAGTCTCTTGTTTGGGTTTGTTATGCCTAGAATTCGGAGTCCCCAAAGACCACTCAGGAGCCGTGTACCGATGCAAATACATAAGGGTAGTTTAATCAAGCTCGAGCCAGGTCTCTAACCTTATCCGACGCATCGGAATAGGGAAAGAGCCCTGAATTCATTGTCTGCAGGGTTTTTATAGAGTTTTCAAACAGCTCAGGTTTCTCAGCTTTACAATCTTTGGATTGGTTAACAATTGGCTTACTATGAGATGTTACAGTTTAATTGGTCAGGACTGGTGGTCTTTGTTCTTAGGCTAGGGTAAAGGAAAACATCTGGCCTCTGGCCTTGAGCTGCCTGGCTATTTATACATATATCATTTTCTTGGAGCTAGAGGACGTGTTCAGGCTAATGTACAGAATGAAGATTGACCTTGTTTCTGGAGGGAACTAAAAACTGAGGCCTTGTCTATTTAAAATGCTTTCCTGAGCCTGACTAGAGTTTAGTCAAGCAGTCTCTAGGTAGGCAAAATCAGGTAAAATCAGTTTGGTCCTTACAGGTTCCCATTCACATTAATGTGCCATTCAACTCATTTCAGTGATAGTAATTCAACATGAATATACTGAGAGTCTCCTATGTCCCTCCATCAACCAATTGTAAATGCCTCAAAGAAGGCAGTCTTTACTTTGGGCACAGCGTCTACCAAACTACTTGGCACAATGCAGGTATTCAATAAATATTTGTTAGAACAAGAGGGAGATAAACAGTAGGTAAGATAAAGTCTGTTGTAAAAATATCTACTCCCAGACTTCTCACATATTCTATTCTTAGTTCTTGAATCGTTTTTGCAGTAAATAGAAATGGGAACTGCAGAAACCATGTGGTGGTATGTCTGACTCCCTGGCTTTACAGGAGGCCTGGAAATCAAATTCAAAATCAGCCCAAGGCCAATTCTTATGAAGCAGAAGTCAGACATGCCTCCACACTACAACCTTCCTTATCCTATTCTAACATCAACCATCCTTCCCACAGCACTCTCTGTTTGACATCTGGGTTCAACAGTCCATTGCGATGACCACAGAGAACTCATTACATTACTCACCATTATGGGGTTTATTAGGGAAGTGAACAAACTATATTCAGGATCAAAATCATCTCAGGATGGTGTAGTTTTCCAATCAGGAATGCCTCTTGTTTGCCGTAATGCAAACACACCCGCTCTTGTCTTAGACTTCTCAGTCTTGGGGCCTCTTGGCCTCTGCCCTGCTGGGGCAAATGTTACAAAGCTCGTTTAGTCAGTCTGTGAATGCCCAAAAGGCACATTCTGCAAGTCAGTCACCTGCCTGTAGGCACTTAGCTTTACTTAATCCGTGGGTCTAGAGCCCAAAGCTGCTCTGTGTCTACATGGCACCACCTCTGCCATCGCCTCTGCTGTCCCTCCTTTTCTAGGTAGGGATCTCATATTCTACTCTCGCTCTTCCTCTTGATGATCTTGGGATCATCTTCCTGCTTCTGAGATGGCTCCTTTTAAGCTTAGATGGCAAAACTATCCAATCCCAGAGTTACAGTTCTGTACACCTTATTTGCATGATTCTACCCCAATCGCTTAGTGGGAATTAAGAAGACATTGGATAGAAAAGCCATATCAAGTAAATTCAAGGTACCATAGGAAACAGAAGACATTTCAAGAAATTGATGCATGACCTACATGTGGGAAAGTTGTGATGAAATAGTTCTCTTTTTTGAGAGTCATTGTGTTCTCAACTAACAAAACACCACCTGAGCACTTCCTATCTATAAGATAATATTATGAAAGTTGATTTATTTCTTTCAAACACTTAATGAACTCCTATTTCATGCCAGGAACAGTACCAGATACCAGGGAAATGAAAGTAACTAAGATACATTCCTCATCTTTAAGTAGCTAGAGACAGAAGCAAGTAATGACCTGATAATTGCCGTACACTATGGCATGCACAAGTGCTGTGGAACCACAAGGAGAGAGTCAGTTGACAAGGGCACATTCTAAATGAACCAGACAATATAATAGGAGGGAAAAGAGCTGAAAGAAGACATTTGGGACACCTTGAGTTCAAGATCACCCTGCCTAGTCCAAAGCTTAGGGAAGTGATGAAGCTTGCAGAGCTTAGAGAGGATGTGCTTGGAAAGTAAACTAGTGCTCCTGGCTCTGTTTTATTGTTTCTGTAGCTTACAGGTGAGGAGAAAGGTAGTGGATGTAACACAGGTTTTGAATTTGATGGCTCTGTTTTAACCCCATAATCAATTGCTTGGCTGTGCTAGGCACCACCTTAGGATAAATGTCTCATTAAACCTAGGAGTAGGCTTTAAAAAGTACATGTAAAAATGGTATGAAGAGATAATGAAATTTTTTCACAAACTTTCTGAAGTCCCCGCATATTTACTCGATCCCAGAAAAGCCAAACCCATTGCTACTGAGTCAAACCTGACTCATAAACACCCACACAGGGCAGAGCAGACCTACTCCATGAAGTTTTTGAGGCTGTAAATCTCTACAGCAATGGACTGCTGCTGCTTTCTCTCATAATTTACTTTATAAGGGGGATATTATTATTTCTGTTATGTTATTGTAATAGTTAATTAACCTCTATGAACCTGTCTCCTTAAAATGGCGCTAATGATTAGCACAGATTGTTGAGGGAATTTAATGAGGGAACATCTAGAAAACAGCAGGCAAAGAGCCTTTCTTAGCAAGCACAAAACACATGCTGCTGCCTCTCCTTCTTGTAGATTTATTTCCCTCTTTGTGTTTCACTAATTGTAGGGCTGACTTTTAACTGGGGAGCTTTACTTGGATGGTCTGCTATCAAGGGCTCCTGTGACCCATCTGTTTGCCTGCCTCTTTATTTTTCTGGAATTATGTGGACACTAATATATGATACCATCTATGCCCATCAGGTAAAGGATTGATTTCTTTCTCTTAACTTTCATTTACTGGTTGGTTTTTTAAAAGTTTGAAGTAAAGGACCAAATTAAGTAGGCAGTGTTTTCTTTCTAAAATGATTAAAGCAAGTCACAATTTCACAGCTCTAACAAAATTGTTTCATGTTTATCATTATATTTATATAAATCATTTTTTTATCAGTTCAATTCATTTTATTTTATTTCAAAGTGTGAATTTTTAAAAATATATGTGCCAGGCACTGTTTTAAATACTTTATAAATACTAACTGAATCCTCCTAAAATCCTGTGAGGAAAGTACTGCAATTATCCACATTTCCCAGTGGATGAAATGTGTGCAGAGAACTTATCCTACAGCTGATGAGGGGGACAGAGCTGACATTCAGACCCAGACACCCTTCAGAGCCTGTGCGTTTAACTACCACATTCGACTGTTTCTCTGTTTATTCAGTTTATCCACTTTTACAGTAAAATGCCACATACTTTTTTACTAAATAGTAGATAGTAAACATTTCCCCATGTTTTTTACTGAGCCCTGGTGTGGCGCTGTAAGGTAAGCACTGGGCTGGTATCCATTAGGTCGGCAGTTCAAACCTACCTGCTGCTCTCAGAAACCCTATGTAGGGTTGCTGTGAATCAGAACCAACTTGATGGCACACAACAACGTGTGTACTAATTCTTTGCCGCTTTAGGACTGCATAATAGCCCATTGAGTTGATGTTGTTGTTGAGTTGATATGTGGTAGTAGTTTATTTATTTATTTATTTAGCAGTTTGCCTTTTTTGACCATTTAAGTTGACTGAATTTATACAATTAGAAATAGTATTTTACTAATCACTAGCATGTTTATGAACATGAATATTTAAGATAAATATTCAGAAATAGTTTTACTAAGATAAAAGGTTAGAAATACTTTTATAGCTTTGGAAATTATTCTAAGTTTAATAAAAAAGATGCAATCTGTTTTTGTAATTACTTCCTATGTTCTTAATTTCCTTTAACATTTATGATCTTTTAGAAAAAGGATATTTCTCAAATACTACTATTTACTAGTATGTATTTTATTCTCCATCATTTATTTTAAAAATATATCATGAATTTAATTCTAAGTTTTCTGTTCTTTTTCTATCTGTATTTCACCCTGCTTTCTTCTGTTACACACTCACTCACACACTGCATTTGTGTTACCTTGAAAAACTTCACCTTATCTATAGGGACTCCTGGTGTGACTATAGGGTTTCTAAGGAACAGCTGTATAGGGTTTCCAAGGAGCAGAAAGTGGGTTTAAACCACCAACCTTGAGGTTAACATTCCACTGCTTATCCTACAGGACCACACCAGGAGTGATTTTAGAATATTTAAAACAAAGTGTGTAGGAAATTACTGAGATATGAAATTGAGGTCAAGAGGCCCTCTATGAAGAATTAGAGTTGAGTTTTGACCCTAACATGTAGTATAAGTATAGTTGAGTGTCATGATAGGGTTGTAAGAAATGCAATGACATGTAGAAAAACGAAGGGGCTTCAAAAAGTTTGTGGGGAAATTCCATCATTATCTTCTCATTCCATTTTCCCATGAACTTTTTGAAGCCCAATTATAAAACTAGATGATTTCAGCAGGACGAGTTATCTTTGATTTGACCTGCACATTCATTACTAACTGTATATCTGAGTTACTGTCATCTTGCACAGCTTATGGTTTTTAAAGACAATGTCTTACTGCTCTCTGATATTAGGACAAAAGAGATGATGCACTCATTGGTCTCAAGTCAACAGCGCTGAGGTTCAGTGAAAACACCAAGCAGTGGCTCAGCGGCTTCAGTCTGGCAATGCTGGGGGCACTGGGTCTGGTGGGAGTGACCTGTGAGCAGACCCTGCCCTATTACACTGCTCTGGCTGCTGTAGGAGCCCATCTGACACGCCAGGTTGGACTTTGTTCTTATTTGTGTCTCACTGTAGCTTATGATGAGCATCTATATTATTGATGTTTTTATAGGATGAATGAACTAATTCTCATTTTAATTAAATTTCTAGAAAACAGACTATATTTTTGTGTCCATATTTTTATTATTTTATTGCATAAAACCCCCCAAAACTGCAGTAAATCCACACACTTATTTAGACAATTTCTTTTATACAGATTATTGCAAGTTACGTTTCAGTACAGGCAAGCCTTAATAACAGGTTAGGAGGGAACCTAAATTCTGATGTCCATACAACACATCACCTGTTGTATCACCTTCATTGTTTCTCTCTCTGGGAAAGCTAAGAGCTAGAAATTGGGGATTCTCCAAATTCTGCCAGATTCACCATTCCCTTCTCAAAATTTCTAAGCACTCCCTTCTAGTTGTAACTCAGTTCCATGAAGGTTTTAGTGTCTTATGATACAAAATTGTCTTGTTGATTATCTATTCAAAATGATGGATGAAGCCCCCGGGTGGTGCATACAATTAAGTTCTCAACTACTAACTGAAAGGTTGGCTGTCGGAACCTACCCAGAGGTACCTCACAAGAAAGGCTTGGTAGTCTGCTTCTGAAAAGTCAGCCTTGAAAACCCCGTGGAGAACAGTGCTACTCTGCAGCACATCAGGTTACCAGGAGTCAGAATCCACTCAACAGCAACTTTTTTTGGATGTTTTTTTTTTTTTCAAAGCAACATTTAAGCAAATGGATATTAGACAGGAGAGAAAGGCAAAATCTATGAGGACAGTCACAAATATTAGAAGAATTATTTGGAACTCCTTTTATGTTTTAAACTTCATTTGTGATACTTTGTCCAGCCTTTGATATAATATTTTACAATGGACAAAGCTTAGTAGTACTTGAAGAGAAAGGAAGTTAATGATGTTGATAAGCGTTCAGACAACATAAGAGAGTTGATGAGATAAGGACTGTTTCAGCCTGGAGAAGAGTAAGGCAGGCACAGGAGACTTTTTGATGTATTTGCAAGGCTGCCATGGGGAACAAACGGTATGTTTCTTTTCGACCAGTAGCAGTGATTTTCAGTTCCCTTCTCTATGTGGAAGGAGTCCTGGTGGCACTGTGGGTTAGGCTAATCACAAGGTTGGTGATTCAAACCCACCAGCTGCTTCACTGGAGAAAAATGAGGCTGTCTGCACTCATAAAAATTTACACTCAGAACCCTGCATAGGGTCACTCCGAGTCATAATTGACTTGATGGCTGTGGATTTGGTTCTCTGTGTTGTAGGAAGACAATCTGGAAATGTAGGAGGCATTTCGGTTCTCATGGTAAACTGGAGAGGAGGTGCTACAGGCATTTAGTGGGTGAAGGTCAGATATATTAAATAGCTTTCATTGCCCCAGACAGCTCTGCACAGAGTTGTCCTGCCCAAATGTGACTTGTTCTCCTGTGGAAAAAAAATTGGTTCAGAGAATAAATCTAGGACCACTGCGTAGATTTGCAGAGGAGCAGATTTTAGAGGAGACAGAATAAGAAAAAGGTATTCTAAATAGGATGAAAATAACTTAGAAGGCTATGTAAGTATCCATGCACCCATCAACGGAAAATTTTAGGACACACTTAGTATCCAGTGAGAAATGTAAATTTGTCTATATCGTGTGATAATTTGTACTACATTAGAGATTTATCATTGTTTTATATTCTGTAACAAGATGCTGTGCTCTTGTCTGTATTTTGTTCATTTGCAATACCAAAAAAAAAATTGTTTCCACTGTGTGCCATCCTAGATACTAATGAAGCATTCATTGTGTTCTTCTCTTGCAGATTCACACCCTAGATATCCACAGACCAGAGGATTGTTGGGATAAATTTGCATCCAACCGAACATTAGGACTTATATTATTTTTAGGGATTGTCCTTGGAAATTTGTGGAAAGAAAAGAAAACAGAAGAAACCAAGAAAACTATAGGTAGTAGATTAGAAAATTAGCAACTATGAGTTTTGTTAAAACAGATTTTTACCAAATACTCTCAGGTATTGTTTCTACATAATTAGATTTTAAACTCGCAACTTGTTACAATATGTTAAATGACTAAAAACAATAAACTAAAGATTTATTTGCTTGGATTTCAGGTCAGCTCTGGTAACACAATGGTTACGAGTTGGGCTGCCAACCTCACAGTCAACAGTTCAAAACTACCAGTGGTTCCGCAGGTAGTTTCTGCTCCCATAAAGATTTATAGCCTTGGAAACCCTGTGCAGGGTCACTGTGAGTCAGAACCGACTCCACGGTACTCAAAAACAACAATTAGCTTGCAAAATTCTTCCCAGCTCAGAAATGAGGGTCTCTTCAGGTTTGGAGATGGCCTTGAGTATTTTCAGTTAATTCATTATTTTGCTCATATAATTCTTATGTCTGCATTTTGGCACTTTTATTTAGGCTCGTGTCTCCAGTTCCGGCTCTGGCTCCTGGGCTGTGGTCCTCTCGGTCTGCCAGGATGGTCTCGGGTACTTACCCCATTACAAGTACGAGCACTGTGTGGTGACATGGGGTCTTGAGCTGTCACCATGGACTTAGGAAGCAGAAAATTAGAAATATCGTTTGGAAACTGACCAAATTTGCAGATGGCTCTGCTGTAGTACAGCCAGGTAACAGAGCAGTGATGGTGACAGCAGTCAGTAAAATAAAACCTTCACCCTCCCAGTTCATGCCCTTAGTGGTTGACTATAGACAGAAAGCTGCTGCAGCAGGTAGAATTCCCACAAACTATCTTAGAAGAGAAATTGGTTCTTCTGATAAAGAAATACAAGTCGACTAATTGTTCAGTTCGACCCCTCTTTCCAGCTGGCTACTTTTATGATACACAGGTCCTTTGCAATCTGTTAGCAGTAGATGGAGTTAATGAACCTGATGTCCTAGCAAGTAATGGTGTTTCAGTAGCCCTCTCATTATCAGATATTCCTTGGAATGGACCCATTGGGACAGTGCGAATAGGAATAATTGATGGAGAATGTGTTGTTAACCCTACACAAAAAGAAATGTCTTCCAGTACTTTAAATTTAGTGGTTCCAGGAGCACCTAGGAGTCAGATTGTCATGTTGGAAGCCTCTGCAGAGAATGTTTGACAGCAGGACTTTTGCCATGACAGCAAAGCGGGAGTGAAGTATAGCCAGCAAATAATTCAAGGGATACAGCAGTTGGTCAAAGAAATTGGTGTTACCAAGAGGACACCTCAGAAGTTATTTACTCCACCACAGATTGTGAAACACATTCATAAACTTGCCATGGAAAGACTTTATGCCGTTTATACAGATTATGAACTTGATAAAATTTCCAGAGATGAAGCTGTTAACAAGATAAGGTTAGAAACTGAGGAACAACTAAAAGAAAACTTTCCAGAGGCTGACCCATATGACATAATGGAGTCCTTCAATGTTGTTTCAAAGGAAGTCTTTGGAAGTACTATTTTGAATGAATACAAAAGGTGTAATGGTCGTGATTTGACTGCACTTAGGAATATAAGTTGTGAGGTAGATATGTTTAAAACTCTTCATGGATCAGCATTAGCTCAACGGAGACAAACAGAGGTTCTTTGTACTGTTAACAGTACTAAATCTGATAGAATTATATCAGCAATAAAAGGAATAAAAGATAAAAATTTCATGCTGCACTGTGAGTTTCCTCCTTAATGCAACTAATGAAATTGTCAAAGTTACTGATGTGAGTAGAAGAGAACTTGGGCATAGTGCACTTGCAGAGAAAGCTATGTATCCTGTTATTCCCAGAGATTTTCCTTTCACCATAAGGGTGACATCTGAAGTCCTAGAGTCAAACGGGTCTTCTTCTATGGCATCTGCATATGGTAGAAGTTTAGTATTAATGGACGCAGGGGTTCCAATTTCATCTGCTATTGCAGGTCACCAAAACCAATCCTGAGAAGAGTGAAATAGATTATCGTTTACTGACAGACATTCTGGGAATTGAAGATTACAATGGTGACATGGATTTCAAAATAGCTGGCACTGATAAGGGAATAACTGCACTACAGGCTGATAATAAATTACCTGAGATACCAATAAAAATCATAATGGAGGCTATTCAACAAGATTCAATGGCAAAGAAGGAAATATTACAGATAATGAACAAAACTACTTCAAAACCTCTAGCATCTAGAAAAGAAAATGGTCCTGTTGTTGAAACTGCTCAAGTTCCACTCTCAAAATGATCAAAATTTGTTGGACCAGGTGGATATCGTTTAAAAAGACTTGTGGCTGAAACAGGAGTAACTATTAATTAGGCAGATGAAGAAACAGTTTCTGTATTTGCACCAACACCCAGTGCTGTGCATGAAGCAAGAGACTTCATTAGTGAAAGCTGCAAAGATGTTCAGGAGCAACAGTTAGAATTTGGAGCAATGTATACCACCACAATAATTGAAATCAGAGATACTGGAGTAATGGTGAAACTATTTCCAAATATGACTACAGTACTACTTCATAACACACAGCTCGATCAGCAAAAGATTAGACATCCTACTGCTCTAGGATTAGAAGTTGGCCAAGAAATTCAGGTGAAATACTTCAGCCGTGATCCAGCTGATGGAAGAATTGAGGCTTTCTTGTAAAGTGCTTCAGTCTCCAGCTACAGCTATTGTCAAAACTCTGAATGACAGAAGCAGTATTGTAGTGGGAGAGCCTGTTTCACAGTCGTCATCTAATTTTTCCCATGATTCTTTTAAGAGAATTCTAGGATGATAATCAGAGCAAAATTCCAGGAGTATCTTCTAAAATGTAGATTTATATATAGTATAAATATATTCTAATTATTTGTACTAAAATGCTCGTTTATGTGGTTTTTATTTCAAAGAGTAACCTATATTCTCTTATCCTTTACACTATAAATCAATAAATATTTATTATTTAAAAGGAAACATTTATACGTCTTAAGAAAGAATACCCTTTCGGACTCGATATAATAAAATGTAGAAAAAATAGATCACATTTGCTACTCAAAGGATCTCTTTCTACATACCTTATTTTTCCTCTTTACATACTGTAGTGACGATTTTCCTTTAGGCATCCTACAGCTCACTCCCTTGCCCAATTGCTTTACTTACCTGCAGATATTTCACAAATAGGAACTTGCCATTTTCAAAATAATAAGGAATAGAAAGAGCTAGTTTGACCTGTTTTTAATAATAGGATGCTTATCATATTCGTCACAGAAACATAAACCTAGTGAAGTAAATATTATAAATGAAACCCTGAATAGAATGAGGTAGTACATTTTTTTAGATTTGCTAAACATGTAAAGAAATTGTTTACTCATCAAATAGGATTGGGTAATTTTCTGAGTGTGTATGTTGCTAGTGTATAGATAGCCTACGAAAGAATGAGAAGGGTAGAAGAGGAATCATGATTTTCAGTTAATAAACATGTTTGAAACAGTCGGAAAAAAATGCATATTTCATCTAAATGTAGGAAAATGGACTCTCTTTTAAATGAAAAATAAAAGCTGTTGTAGGAAGTCGGGACTTAATGTCCTTTCTTGTAACTGCTAATCTGGTAGTGTAGTGGTTACAAATCAGGCTGCTAATCTCACGGTCAGCAGTTCGAAAGTGCCAGCTGTTTTGCGGGAGAAAGATGAGTTTTTTCTGCTCCTGTAAAGATTTACAGCCTCAGAAACCCTGTGTAGGGTCACTGTGAGTCGGAACCGACTCCACGGCACAATAACAACAAATCAATGCCAAAAACTTCTCATGCCGTAAACTTTTTTTTTCTCCTTCATGTTTTATTAGAATTTAAGGTCTCTAAGTGGTGCATATGGTTTACCCTAAAGGCTGGTGGTTCAAACCCACTCATTGCTACCATGGAGGAAATGCCTGGCAATCGGTTTCCAGAAAGATTCCAGCCAAGGAAAGCTTAGGGAGCAGTTTTACTGTGTAATACCAGGGATATTAAGGAGTCCAAGTTGACTTGATAGCAACAAATATTTTATGTCGTTTTGAGGAGAATTTAAGCAAATAAATTTTGACCCATTATACCCATATATCCATCACTCATCTGTCAGTTTGTCATACTCTGGTGGCTTGTGGTGCAGGAAGCTATGCCACTGGTATTTTAAATACCAGGAGAGTCACCCATGGTAGACAGGTTTCAGAAGAACTTCCAGACCTAAGACAGACTGGAAAGAAGGAGAGACTGAATAGCAGTAGAATATTGTCTGCTATACTGCCAAAAGATGAGCCCCTCACATTGGAGGTCACTCAAAATACAACGGGAACTGCTGTCACCCCAAAGTGGAGTTGACCTTGACGATGTGGATGGAGCAGAGCTTTTGGGACCCTCATTTGCTGGTGGGGTACAACTCAAAATGAAATGAAAACAGATACAAACATCCATTGATAATTGGAACATGAAATGTACAAAGTTTTAATCTAGGAAAATTGCAAATTGTCAATAATGAAATGGAACACATGAAGATTGATATTCTAGGCATTAGTGAACTGAAATGGACTGGTATTGCCCATCTTGAATCTGACAATTACGTGGTTTACTATGCCAGGAATGACAAATTGAAAAGGAAGGGCATCACATTCATTTTAAGATCTATCTTGAAGTATAATGCTGTCTGTGATAGGATAATATCCATTTGCCTACAGGAAGACCTGGTGTGGCACTGTGGATTAATGTGCTAGACTGCAAAGTCTGTTTGAACCACAAGGTCGGTGGTTCAAGCTCACCAGCCACTTCTCAGAAACCCTATACAAGGTCACTATGGTTTGGAACCAACTCGACAGCACTTAACAACAACAGGAAGACCAGTTGATACCAGTATTGTTCAGATTTACATGCCAACCACTAAAGCCAGTGATGGTAAATTTTTAAAATTCTACCAAATTCTTCAGACTGAAATTGACCAAACATGTAATCACAGTGCATTGATAATTACTGGTGATTTGAATGTGAAAGTTGGAAACAAAGGATTTATAGTTGGAAAGTATAACCTTGGTAATAGAAACAATACTGGGCTTCTTTATTGCAAATACCTTTTTAAAACAACATAAAAGACTATACACATGAACCTCACCAGATGGGATACACAGAAATCAAATTAATTACATTTATACAAAGACATCGTGGTAAAGCTCCATAACATCAGCCAAAACAAGGCCAAGAGTAGACTGTGGAACAGACCATCAATTGTTCATATCCAAGTTCAGGCTGAAGCTGAAGAAAATTAAAATAAGTCCACAAGAGCCAAAATACAACCTTAAACATATCCTACCTGAATTTATCTAATGACTGAAGACGAGAAAATACAGGAAGAAAGCAAAATGTCACTAAAGACAGGAAGGAAATAGACAAACATGGATGTCAGTAGAAACTGAAACTTGCTTTTAAGCATAGAGAAACTAAAGCAAATGGATGAGCTGTGTGTGTGTGTGTGTTTGCCACCAAATTACAAGTGATGAAAACTATTGCCAAATCCAAGCCAAAATGGGAAAGGAAAAGACTCGTGTCAACATCATCGTTGTTAGACACAGATTCTAGCAAGTCTACCACTGCTGGCCACCAGATCTACAAATGTAGTGGGATTGACAAAAGAACCATAAAAAAATGTGAGACAGAAGCTGCTGGGTTGGGGAGGGGCTTCTTCAAATATGCCTAGGTCTTAGATAAACTGAAAACCGAACATGTATGTGGTGTCCCCATTGATATCTACCTGTGGAAATTTGAGACCAGCAAATAAGTGGTATGTCAATTATTGATACCCCAGGATACAGAGACTTTATCAAAAACATGATCACAGGAACCTCACAGGCTGACTGTATTGTCCTGATTGTTGCTGCTGGTGTTGGTGAACTTGAAGCTTGTAGCTAAGAATCGGCAGATCAGTGAGCATGCCCTTCTGGTGTACACACAACGTGAAACATAATTAATGGATTCTGCTGAACCACCCTGGAGTCCTGGTATGGCGCTAAGGGTTAATGCGCTGGACTGCAAAATCAGTTTGAATTGCAAGGTTGGAGGTTCAAGCTCACCAACTGCTCCTTGGTAACCCTATAAAGGGTCGGAACGTACTCAACTGAACTTAACGATGACAACAACCCTATAGTTAGTTATGCGAGGAGATTGTTAAGCAATTTGTTAAATAGTTAAGTGCTTACATTAAAAAAAACAAAAAAAAAAAAACTGGCTACAACCCTGGCACAGTAGCATTTGTGCCAATTTCTGGTTGGAATGGTGACAGTGTGCTAAAGCCAAGTGTTAATTAACATGCCTTGGTTCAAGGGATGGAAAGTCACCCATAAGGATGACAACACCAGTGGAACTACTCTGCTTGGCACTTTGGATTGCATTCTGCCACCAACAAACTCAAATTACCAAGCCCCTGTGTCTGCCCTGCCAGGGTGTCTGCAAGATTGGGGGTACTGGAACTGTCAATGTGGGCAGAGTGGAGACTGGCATTCTCAAACCAGACATAGTGATCACCTTTGCTCCAGCCACTGTTACCACTGAAGTAAAGTCTTGAAATGCACCATGAGGCTTTAAGGGAAACTCTGCTTGGGGACAGTGTAGGCTTCAATAAAAAGAAGATCTCTGTTCACCGTGGCAATGTGGCGTAACAGCAAAAACAGCCCACCAACGGAAGCAGTTGGCTTCACTGCCCAGGTAATCATCCTAAACTATCCAGGCCAAATCAATGCTGGATATACGCTCTGCTAGATTGTCACACAGCACACATTGCTAGATTGCTAAGCTCAAAAAGAAGATTGATTGTTGTTCTGGTAAGAAGCTGGAAGATGGCCCCAAATTTTTTAAATCTGGTGAGGCTGCCATTGTTGGCATGGTTCCTGGCAAGTCCATGAGTGTTGGGGTTGAGTGCTTCTCAACTATCCTCCTCTGGGTGGTTTTGCTGTGGGTGTTATCAAGGCAGTGAACAAAAAGGCTGCTGGAGCTAGCAAGATCACCAAGTCTGCACAGAAAGCTTAGAAGGCTAAATGAATATTACCTTTAGCACCTGCCACCCCATCCTGGTGTGGTGCTGTGAGTTAATGCGCCATATTGCAAAGCCATTTGAACTGCAAGGTTGATGGTTCAAGCTCATCAGCTGCTCCTTGGAACTCCTATTCAGGGTCGCTGTGGGTAGGAACTGACTCAGTGGCACTTAACAGCAACAACACCAACCTTAATCAACAGTGGTAACAGTCTCAGAGATGTTTGTCTCAGTTGGCCACTTAAGTTTAATAGTAAAAGTCTGGTTAATGGTAACAATGCATAAGACCTTCAGAAGGAAAGCAATGCTTTGTGGACCATTTTGTTTCTTTTTTATGTGGCAGTTTTAAGTTGCTAGTTTTTTCAGTCAGTGCTTTTTAAATGGAAACAAATTTGTCACAGAATTTTGAGACCCATTCAAACAAAGTTTGATGAGAAATAAAGCGAATGAAAGAAATGAAGTCAAGGAGCTGAACAAAATTTCAAAGGGCAGCTCAAGAAGACAAAGTATAATGAACTGTGCGAAGACCTGGATTTAGAAAACCAAAAGGGAAGAACTCATTCAGCATTTCTCAAGCTAAAAGACCTGAAGAAAATATTCAAGCCTTGGGTTCCTATACTGAAGGGCTTAGGAACCCTGGTTTGGCGCTGCAGGATAAGCACTGGACTAGTAATTGTAAAGATGGCAGTTCAAACTCACTAGCTGCTATCGAAAACCCTATACAGGGTCACTATTAGAACTGACTCGATAACACACAGCGACAACAATGGGCAAATTGAATGGCGCAGGAAGCATCAAAAGATGGAAGGAATACACAGAGTCATTTACCAAAAAGAATTGATCAGTGCTTAGCCATTTTCAAGAGGTGCCATATGATCAAGAACCTATGTTATTGAAGGAAGAAGTACAAGCTGCAGTGAAAGCATTGGCAAAAAAACAAGGCTCCAGTAATTGATGGAATACAAATGGAAATATTCCAACAAATGGATACAGTACTGGGAGTGCTCACTCTTCTGTGTAAAGAAATTGGGAAAGCAGCTACATGGCCAACTGACTGGGAGAGATCAATATTTGTTCCCATTCCAAGTGATCATGGAAGCATTCAAGAAACCAAAGACATACTGCATTAGGCCAATCTGTTGTAAAAGACCTCTTTTAAGTGTTAAGGAGCAATGGTGTCACTTTGAGGGCTAAGGTATGCCTGACTCAAGCCATGGAAGGTATTTTCAATCGCTTCATGCATCTGAAATTTGGACAGTGAATAAGGAAAACCAAAGAGGAATTAATGCATTTGAGTTATTGCCTTGGCAAAGACTATTGAAAAATATACCATGTACTGCTAGAAGAGCAAACATCTGTCTTGGAAGTAGTACAGCCAAAGAGCTCCTTGGAAGAGAAAGTGGTAAGACTTCATCTCTTATACTTTGCACATGTTATCAGGTGGGACCATTCTCTGGAGAACATCATGCTTGGTACAGTGGAGGGTCAGCAAAAAGGAAGACCCCCAATGAGATGGAGTGACAGGGGCAGCAACAAAGGGCTCAAACATAACATCAATTGTGAGGATGGCACAGGATCAGGCAATGTTGCTCATGAGGTCACTATGAGTTGGAACCAATTCAACAGTACTTAACAACATACCCATACATAGGGATCCCTGGTGGCACCGTGGGTTAAACATTGGGATACCAGTCACAAGGTCAGCAGTTCAAACCCACCATCTGCTCTGTAGAGAAAAGCTGGAACTGTATGCTTCTGCAAAATTTTACTATCTCGGAAACCCAAAGGAGGATTTCCAGTCTGTCCTCTAGGTTCACTATGAGTCAGAATTGATTTCATGGCAGTGGATTTGGTTTTATACCCATACATATTGCTGCTGGTACAAACTCTGTCATTTATTTGAGAGATCTAGTCTCTGTGCCCCGACAGTGACTAGGACAGATAGCCAGTTAGTACCCAGGATTAACTTCTAATTATTTATTTTTTACCTTCTCCAATTATAATTTATAGGATAATGGTTAAGCCCGGCATGTTGGTTAAGAACGAGACTCCTGAGCCAGACTGGGCTCAAATCTTGACTTTTACTAGTTGTGTTAGCATGAGTAGGTTACTTAGCATCACTGTGCCTCTTTAGCCTCATCTATAAAATGAGGATAATAATAGTACCTGTCTGCCAGAGGAATTAATTATAGGGTATATGTTCCTGGAACTTCATATTAATGTATCCAACTACCTACTTTGAGCCCTGATATGATGCTATAGGATAAGCACTGGACTGCTAACCACAAGGTTGACAGTTCAAACCCACCAGCCACAACTTGGAAACCCTCTACCGACTCAATGGCACTTAATAACAGCTTTGTTATTGGACCCTCATAGAGTTTGAAATACTGGTGACATGGCTTCTAGCTTCTAACAACATTCAAGTCACTACTGTATAAGCAACTGAATACGACTGTCAGAAGAGACTCTGAAATTTGCTCTAGAACATAGAGTAGTTAAAGTGAACTAAAATTGTAAAACAAAAGAATTGAACAGAAGATTTCAAAGGACAGTTTTAGAAGACAAAGTGCATATTTAAATAAAATGTGCAAAGACCTAGAGTTAGAAAACCAAAAGGCAAGAACACAGTTGGTATTTCCCAACCTGAAAAAAAAAAAAAAAACTTTCATGTCTCACTGCAATATTGACTGAAGGATACTATGCATAAAATGGTGAACAATGCAGAAAGCATAAAAAGATGAAAGGAGTACCCAGGGTCACTGTACCGAATAAAATTGGTAAACATTCCAGAACATTTGATTATGCTCATGCAGAAACCGTACATGGATCAAGAGTCAGTTGCTCCAACAGAATACAGAGATAGTGTGTAGTTTAAAATCAGAAAACCGTACTTAATCTGTATGCAGACCAAGTAATCTAAGAAGTTGGACTTCTTATATGAGGAAGAATACAGCATCAGGATCACGGGAAGACTTATTGACAACCTGCATTATGCTTGCAGAAAGTGAAGAGGCCCTAAGGACTAATGAAGATCAAAGACTACAGCCTTCAGTATGAATTACACTTCTATATATATATATATATATTTGAAATCCTCACAACTGGACCAGTAAGCAGCATCACGATAAGTGGTGAAAATATTGAAGTTGTCAAGGATTTAGTTTTACTTGAATCTGCATTCAGTTCCCATGAAAGGTGCGAACAAGAAAAATCAGAGATGTCACCTTGAGGACTAAGGTGTACCTGACCCAAGCCATGGTATTTTCATTCACCTCACAAGCATGTGAAAACTAGAAAATGAATAAGGAAGACTGAGGAGACTTGATGCTATTGAATATACCTTGGACTGCCAAAAGAACTAACAAACTGTCTTGGAAGAAGTACAGAGTTCTTAAAAGCAAGGATTACTGTCACATGTACTTTGAACATGTTATCAGTAAGGACCATTCTCTGTTAAGGGACTGAAGCAGAAATGTAAGACCCACTTTCATTTATAATAAAGGTGCAGAAACTGGAAGTGGACATCCCCAACCAATGTGGGATGAGAGCAGCAAGAACACCAAAAAGAGGATCCAGGCCAACCCAGACGCATTTCCCTGGCCACAGAGGTGAACCATCGTTGCTAGTTCTTTAGAGAGGAGGAGTAGAAAATTGGCTTTAGGATCTGTAGAATTTTGTAAAGGTCAATTATTCTTGTTTATTATTATTATTATTATTGTGAATTGTGTGATAGTCCACATGGGAGAACATCAGCTCCACATTCATTCCATCATCCATCATTTCACTGGCACAGTTACCATCCCAACCATGCATCCTCACCCAACCAAGGGGTGTACCCTGTAAGCCTGCATGCCCCCCACCCACCCACCCACCACAGTCTTCAGCCCCTTTCCATCTCCTGATCCCGAGTTCCCAGCCAACCCATCTCTTGACGTCGTCTTCTCTGCCTCCATCTACCTCTCTGGGTAGGATTCCGCTCTTTGCTCTTCTGCATCGATGGTCCCAGGGTCCTCTGCTCCTAGACTGAAAAGTTAATCACTCCCCTCTTAGCTACAAAATGTCCATCTTTAGACTTCCAACCCTCACAATCAGTCCTGATAACAATTATTCACCACTGCATCACAAGAGACCCATCTGTATTTCATTTCATCAGCCCTTCCTGGACAGGCTGGACACTATTCACTGGAGACTCTACCTTCCTTCACACCCTTTGGATCTAGGTTCCCTCTTGAAAGCTTGTAAGCCAGTCACTTCTTGCCTTTGTATCCCTCCCCCCATTTTGGGTAGCCAATGTCCAAGTTGCCCATCCCTGTCTATGATTTGTGTGTGTGGGGGGTGGGAATAGTTCTTGCAGCAGGGATTTGTTTCCTCTTTTGAGCTTCTGCATTCATAGATATAGGTCCTGTTTATCGAATTGTATCAGATGGCGCTTTTTTCCTCTTTCTTCTTAGGGTTGAGCTCTGTTTATCCAGTCATTGAAGTCTGGTCAAATGGGTATCATCTGCAAGTGTGGGTGTTCTTACATCTGTCCGGCCTCTTTTTTTCGGCTGGCTGCCCCACTCTCCACTCTAGACCTCTGTGGCTGTGTCATTGATTCTGAGCCCATGAGTCCCCAGATGTTGTCTCGCTACTGGCCGACCAGGTCGCCACCCGGGTTCACAGTAGTTTGCTG